GTTGGCCAATTCCTAGTTCATTCATTATATGAAAAATACAATATTTTTTTAAAGAAGCGCATTTTAAAAGCAAACATGAGCTGCTGGGTCCGATTAAGAATAATGTGTGCTTTTAACACTGCTTTGGCATTTAAAATTTATTTAAGCATATAGACTCTTCTCATCGCTTCTTCCTCTTTTTTTGTAAATTTGGCGAGATTTTCTTGCGATCCATTTTATTTCATTGTAATTCATTAGATGACTATTCTTAGGCAGGTATTCCCTACAACTCATCGCAATTGATTGCAAAAGCAAACAAGAGCTGCGTTTAAAAATATAAGCATTTTATTTACTGATTAATGAACTAATCTGCAACGCATCCACATAATGCCTCCTGTCACTATTTCATCTCCGGTTAGAATTATTTCTTAAAAAACGAATGTTATTATATGATGGTTATTATTCTTGTTTCGTTGGAGCCGCTTTAAGTGAGCATACATTTTATAATAACGTGATGTATTTTGTTCTAGTTGAATTGATCCTTCCGTACGCTTAATAATCGTCTATTTTATTTCAATTAAAATTCCTATTTTGAAATTACATACTTAATTAATTTTTATCAAGGTCTATTGATCTCTAAGGGCTTAAAATACATATAGATTCCGTAAGGCTTAATATACGACCTCTAATGCAGAGTTATGCTCATTATACTAATCCTGCTGCTAATTACGTACAAAAGTGTAGAAAGTCAAATTATATATACTAATTTTTCGTACGTAAGTAGCGTTTCGAGACTACCACTAAATTAGTAATATGAGATGTAGTCTCGAAACTCTACTTACATACGAAAAATAAGTAACGTAGTCGATTATTATAGTAAATATGCGTTTGTTTCATCGACAATCCCACCAAAGAATATGATATGGCAAAAGGCCTGGGTTTCCTTGAAATTCACATCTGCCCTGTGACCCAAGGGCACTCTTGGCAATGTGGTTGGGTGGTAAATGTGTCAAGCTCACGTTCTGCACTGTCACGGTTCGACTCCCGCTGGGGGTCTTGATAAGACCGATGCGAGGTCGAGACTGCAGTCAACTGGTGCCTGGATGAGAACAACTTTTGGGAAAACAAAGTTCTGTGAAATTCACTGGAAACGTCAGCTCTACTCATATCATTGTGGGGAAATTCTACTACCAGTTCTTCACCTACTTAAACGAAATAGTGTGAATATATCTCATATTACTGATTACTGCTAGTCTCTTGAATAGTCGGAATTACCGTCGAAATTCCGACAGATTTAGCTCGTTTTCGGTATTACGCAATCGTAGTGATGCGATCCCCTGCGTGAAAATAATGGTCTGTCACGGACGTTACCTTATTTTAATTGGCCAAATCGAACCGTTGAGTTCAATATCTACACCCACCAACTGACACACTTTCAATACAAACTT